AGATGGGCCAAAATGTGGGGAAGAAGCCTTTTAGGGGTGTCTTTCCATGTCTGCCCAAATGGGCAGGAATGGAGCCTCCCAGGAGATGCTTCATTAAAACTCTTACAACTCCCTGCAGGAAGGAGCAATTCACTGGAGATAGTCTTTGCCTCAAGATGAGGTTGAAGCACTCTTTTCTCCTCTCCATCTTCTCTACTCTGGAGAAATCTGACAGGAGGACTCTGACAGGAAGGTTTTGGTAGGGGAGGGGAACTATTTCTTCAGTTTCAGGTTATGCCACTAAGCAGAGTGACAACATGAAAAGACCTAGAAGAAAAGGTGGAGTCTTGCAATTGTTGCTTTACCCACCTGGAATGTTGTCTCAAGCCATAACTCTGCTGAATGGAATTCATTTAAATGAAAGACCAATTAATCTGCAATATCAATTTGGGAGTTCTCACTAATCTAAATCAACTAGCTGAGGCTGAGTGGTGTGTTCAGCTTTAGGCATGAAGAAGCTGTGGGCAGATCTTCCCTTTCTAAGCAGTTCTTCCCCATTAACAATGCTGCTTGACCTCAAGTATATGTTTCCTTTTACAAGGTGCAATCTCAAGCACACACTCCAGGGCTGTGGCTCCCTTACTCACTAAGATGAATGTCCTATGTCCTAATGTGCGCCCCCATCTTCCTTACCAAGTCATCTTCCGGTCCAGGAGGTTAGACTCAGCTCACCATAACCAAGTGTCTTGGCTCTCTATCAAATACGAACAAAAGAGGCAAAAGCAAACCAATAAGGGTGATAGTTGAACAGAATATAATAATAATAGAAGAAGAAATGAAAATAGCCCAAAGTTCTGAAAACATAGGAAGAAAATAAGGTATTAGTACTGCATTCAGGACAAAGATTTGTCTACACTGATTTTAATTACCTTAGAAGGAAAAAAGAACTCTACCTGTATTTATTCAGCAACTGATTTTATGACTATCAAATCTGAATATATAAACTAGAACTTAATTGATTTGGATTTCAATTTTTGTTTGGATTTGTAAGACTTTTTTTTTTCTTTTTCAGTACTAAGGATCAAACTCAGGCCCTAATGCACACTAGATAAGCACTCTACTACTGAACTATATCCCTAGTCCATTTTATTTTCCATTTTGAAACAGGATTTCATTTTGTTGCCCCGGCTGGATTTAACTTGAGATCCTCCTGCCTCAGCCTTCTGAGTACAGGGATTACAGGCATGCGACACCATACCAGGCTTGATTTGAATGTGGTTTTGTATTTGTAATGCTATTGTTGACCCATGTTCAACAAAAAACACACTTTTTATTTCTTCATTTTAGTACTGCTGATGAAATCAGAGGTTATTACTGAACACCAGGTTTTCCTGGATTGGGCCTACACTCTAACCCTCAAGCACAAACAGGCTGCCATTAGAAGGGGAACTGTGAATTTCTGAAAGGAATTAGTGCAAATATTTAAGAATTGTGAGTAGTTCCTAATGAAGGCTCATTTCATGTAGCCCTGAAAACTAAGGTTATGGTTTCCTTAGTTAATACTCTAGGTAACATTTTATTTTTTTCTAAATATATTGTTTCTGGGCTTATTCTTTTATGTGTTTATTTCATTAGATAAGGGCCCATGCAAGTGACTCTAAAGGAAAAGATGATACCATGGGACTGATCTTTAGGTTATTTCCTTTCAACATGATTATATCTAGAGGTATCAGCCTCTTTATACACACACACACACACACACACACACTCTGTCACACACACACACACTCTGTCACACACACACACACACTTTTTTAGTTGTGTGATCTTAATTTTATTCACTTATTTATATGTGGTGCTGAGAATCAAACCCAGTGCTTCACACATGTGAGGCAAGCACTCTACCACTGAGCCACAAACCCAGCTTTCACATCTTACTAATAGTTGTAATATGGTTTCTAAGAACAACCATCAGAAAGTTGAAAATTTCTAAATTGAACCACCATAATCTGGGACTGTATTTATTAACCACTTCTTTTGATAGCTAGATTTGAGAGAGTATATGTAACATATTAAATCTTGATAATGAAAAAAAATAAGCCAATAGAATGATATTTCATCAATACATGATGTTTAATATTTATTGCCAAAATCAAGTTTCCTATCTAAAACAAATGAGTTATTTGGGGGGAAGTAAAGCAAACTAATCATGCAACCATGAAACATCCCAGCAGGTATATTCCTGGCATTTGTCTCAGAGAAATGAAGGTTTATGTTTTCACAAAAATCTGTTTGTAAATGTTCATAGCAGTTTTATTTGTAATCATAAGCCAGAGACAATCCATACATCTTTTAATAGGTAGATACACAAGACATCCATACCATGAAATGTTACTCACCAATATAAATGAATGAACCTGGATGTATCTCAAGGGCATTATACTGAGTCAAAAAAGCCAATCCCAAAATAAAATTACATATTAATTCCAGTTTTACATTTCTTGAAATAACTAGATGCCAGAAATGGAGATTAGTAAAGATGGAAGGGAATTAGGGGAATTAAGAGTAGCTGCAAAAGGACAACATGAGGGGTGTGGTGACAGGAATATTCTGCATCCTGGTTATAATATTATATCACAGTTTTTCAAGATGTTACTATTGGGGGGAAAACAGGGAAAGGAGAAACAGGATCAGTTTATTTATTCTTACAACTTCATGTGAACCAGCAATTATCTCAAAATCCTAAAATCTTAATTAAAAGAAATATGATCTGTATATCCTTATTTTTCCTTTAATTTGTGTATTACCCCAATATGGGATAAAATATTGTCTTAACATAAAAATATCCTTATTTATCTATTATTAATATATTATGCAGTTAGGTACATAAAATAGTAATTTTCATTTTTAAAGAGTTCATTTAAGCTGGGTACCTTTAATATATTTAAAATATAAATATATAAAAAATGCAAACATATACATAGGAATATCCTCTGATGATTTTGATCTACTTCTTGGGTTTCATAGTCTCAAACATTTTTTTCTTTATCCTTCGTTTACTGAGAGCAGCATGTTGAAAATTAGAATTTAAAAAGCTCTTACAAAAAAAAAAAAAAAAAAAAACCTAGAATCTTTGCATTGACATTGAGTTTTCAACATTCAACTGTGCTGGTAAGGGAAATGGACTGGAGATCCTGAGCAAAGTCCGAAGGCCAGATTGAGGCAGCAGAGGCGGTTGCTGTGGCCTCAGTGCTTTAATAGCGCCACCCTGAGGCAGCATCTGTAACTGCATGCGTTCAGTGGCATTGCCACCAGGCGGAAGAGGGGGCATCCCTGCACCAGTGGGCTTAGAGAGAAGAAACGCAAGTGTATATCAGGAAAGTTTGACCAGGGAGAACCAGGCCTGTCCCTGCTCTGCCCTCCACATTGGTTCAGGGGAACGTGGTCATACTCTGACCTACAAGTCACTGGTGCTCTTCCTGCACTGACCAACCTCCAAGGATGAAGGAGGTTGAGAGGAATAGGGAAGAGTTCATAAGAGCCTTGTGATCCAACCTTACAGTTAGTGCCAGGCACCCTTCCAAAAGCAGTCCTCTTCAACCCTGGGTATCCATTTACGTTGGTTTTGGTGGTGGGGAATGGCATCCCATCATGGTTTTGATTATTTGTCTCTTCAGGATCTGTTTTGCTTTTCTTCTCTATGTGACTTAGAAGCACTAGAATCCACCCACATCCTCCAGCTAAAAACCTAGAATCATCCTTGATTCCTCTCTCCTTCCCCCTCCACAGCAACAATCGTGTCAGTTCCACTTCTGAATATATCCTTTTCTCTCCACCCCTCCACCTCTCTAGTTAAAACCATTATTGTCTCTCCCAAAGCTCCAAAGTTCTCCCTGCATCTCAATCCCTGCTTATCAGCAACCCCACTTGCTGTCCACAGGCAGATCCAAAGAACTTCCTGAAACTTCAAGTAGACTCTGCACACCTCCATTTAAATACCGCTACTCCCCACTTCCCTAACTCTATTTACAGGATTCTGGAAAGTATAGAGTGCTCTCATCTTCTACCACACCAAGCACATGCTAAGGACTGGTCTCTCTTCAAAATGAATGAATGGCAGACTCATTCTCATTCTTCAGCTCTCAGCTCAAAAGTCTCACCTCCATGCAGAGCCTTTGTCCAAACAAGGCCCCACACCTAATCAACACCAGCTAATTATTCTATCGTATCATGTTTTTTCCTTCAGAACATTTTTGTAAGATAATAAATAATTCTGGCATTTATTTACTGTTTGTTCCTTTTCCTGGTTAAAAGTTACATAAAGGCAGTAATCACAGCTAAATTCCTAGCAACTGGTATCAATTCATTAGAGGTGATCAAAGATATTTTTGAATAAATAGATAAAATCATTTATTCTAAAAAAAAGAGTTAATGTTGCTATTACAGCATGAAATAGACCAGGAGGTATGAGAGTTGACATTGTTTCACTTCAAATAAGAGCATGGATTTTACATGTCCATGGAGGGAGTGTGTCCCTAACATACAACATAAATTCCTGGATGGGGCTGGGGTGCTGATCTGATCTAAGGATGAAATCTACCAAGAGTACCAGGACACAAGCTAGGCATGGTGGTGCATGCCTGTAATCCCAGCTACTCTGAGGCTGTTGCAGCAGGACCTCAAATTTGAGGCCATCCTGAGCAACTTAGCAAGACTCTGTCTTAAAATAAGATTTTAAAAGTGTAGGAACATAGTTCAGTGATAGGGCACTTGTCTAGCATGTGTGAGGCCCTGAGTTCATTCCCTAGTACTGGGAAAAAAAAAAAAACAAAGAAAGAAAAAAGAAAAGTAGAACTAAAACACAGATATGTTAAAGGGAATGAGTAATGTTATATCAAGCACCTTTCACACATCTGAAATTTTGAGAAAAACTGAGGGCCCAGGAGATGCTACAGAATTTTTGCATGGCAGGCAGAAATTTTGCTTTTTAAACAAAGACAAAAATCTCAAGTCAGAGAAAATATGTTTAAAACCTGATTTCATAGTTAATTATTCTATACATTTGTGTCATCATGATATATTCAGCATATGTCAAATCAATCATTTCTTTCCTTGTCAGTAAAAATGAAGGTATATTCCATTCACAAAATCAGTGCACTCAGAATAAAAAGTAAACAGAGGAAGCAAGAAGGCTAGACAATTCATAACAGAATCTTCAAGGAGAAGTTTGGTCATTTAAAATAACAATCTCCTGGGGCTGAGGATAAGCTCAGTTGGTAGAGTGCTTGTCTTACATGCACAAGGCCCTGGGTTCAATCCCCAGCACCACAAAAAATTTTGCTGGTTTTTAACTATCTTTCTCATAATTAATGTTTCAAATATGGCTGGCTCAGTCAGTTACCCTTTCCGGGCAACTTTAAGTACAGCCCAACACAGGGTCATCCAAAAGCATGTGGGCTCTTTCAGGGAGTAGTGGAGGCCCCATGGAGCTCTGTGTCCAAAACTGAGAAGACCTTCCCAACAGTGATATGCAGGGCCACCAGCATCTGTCTCCCAATCTGTATCCATCCAGGACTCAGAAGGCTAGATTTCATTAGGCAAAAGAGCAGTTCGTTCCTCTTCTGTGCCAACGATGTTTTGAGACTTAGACCTACTTTGAGAGGAAAAAAAGAGAATTTCAGGATCTCTTATCTAAAAATGAACAACAAACAAACAAACAACAACATAAACAGTGCCTACATATCTACCCAACTATCCCCTTAAACCTGGCAAATATATTTACCAAGTAAGGGACGAGCCTCAGGGCCCCCAGAAATCTGCTAACTAGAAGGATGGATATAAATTGGTATTTCTTGACCACACCCATAAGCTGACATCTAAAGGCAGAAAAAAGAACTCTAAAAGTTGACCATACCTTCTTCTTCTCCTTGAGTGCTCCAGGAGGTAAAATAAGCCCATCACTAATCCCTTTAACACAGTGAAAAGTACTGGTTAATGTAAATCCTCCATGACAACTTTCTCAAAAATGTAAAGAAGATTGGGGTGGAGGGGAAAACATGGGTTACTTACACTTATCAGAGGCCACAGGCCTTGTATAGCTGCTGCCCACTCAAAACCAATTTTCTCATACAGAAATCCACCCAGCATTGGTCCTGCAAAAGCACTGAAGATGGATAGATGAATTATTAAACAATAAAAAAAAAATTGCTTAGTAAAAGTCACTCGATTCCTCAGTCCCAGGTCTCCCTTAAATTAGGACTACAAATACTGAATAAAAGATAGTGGAATGAGATGGATATCATGTATGAAAACATGGATGGTGTGAATATACTTTGTATACAAATAGAGATATGAAAATTGTGCTCTCTATGTGTAATATGAATTGTAATGCATTCCACCATCATATATAACAAATTATAATTTTAAAAAAGAAAATAAAATACAGTCTTCAACTTTCCTGAGAACAACAACAAATGTCGATTCTGGGGCATAGCATTGGGTATAAGAAAAGAATTGTAGGGCAGGGAGTGCCTCTCAGTGGTAGAGAGCTTGCCTGGCAGATATGAAGTGCTGGTTGGATTCCTACAACCACTACAGAACAAAACAACAGAAAAATTACCTGATAATGATGTTCAAAATTTTTTAAAAAGGTGATACATTCGGAAGGATCTTTATATTATTCTGTCCTCAGTATTTGCATCTAATATAATTCAATTGAATACTTATTTTTGATCATATACAACATTTCTAACATGTAGTTACCCTTATGATGCAGTAGAAAGTAAAAACTAAATAAACAAATGAATAAAAAAATAAGATTCAAGGATGGATCCACCATATGACCCAACTATCCTGCTCCTGGGTATTTTTCCTAAAGATCTAAAATTGGCATACTATAGTGACACAGCCACATCAATGTTTATAGAAGCACAATTCACAATAGCAAAATTATGAAATCAACCCAGATGCCTGTCAACAGATGAATGGATTAATAAATCATAGTATATATATATATATGACATATATATCATATATATACATACAATGGAGTTCTACTTAGCCATTAAAAAGAGTGAAATTATGTCATTTGTTACTAAATGGATGGAAATGGAGAATATCATGCTAAGTGAAATTAGACAAATTCAGAAGCTCAAAAGTTAAATGTTCTCTCATATGCAGAAAATAGAGTAAAATAAAGGAAAGGGAGAGGGGAGGACAGGAATACATAAAGAGCCAGTCAAATACAAATTAATAAATGAGCAAAAGGAAGTCTAGTAGAGTAGACGAAGGAGAAGAAGGAGGAGGGAGGGGAAGGAAAAGGGGGATAATGAACTGAAATCAATTTTCATGCATGTATGAGTTTGTTGGGTTGAACCCAACTACTATGTATAACCGTAAAGCTCTAATTTAAAAAAAAAAAAAGAGGGGTGGGAGAGCAAGGGAGGGGTCAGGGGGTTAGCAATGATGGTGGAATGTGATGGACATCATTATCCAAAGTACATGTATGAAGACATGAATTGGTGTGAACATACTTTATATACAGAGATATGAAAAATTGTGTTCTATATGTGTAATATGAATTGTGATGCATTCTGCTGTCATGTATCTAAAAAATAAAAGCAATTTAAAAAAGATTTTAAAAATCTGAAGTATAGTTTTGTTTAGGGAACTTCCAAATACCACTTCAATAAGACAAAGTATGTGAGACCATTTTGCTTTGGTTTCAAATCTGCTGGTATAATCAGATTTTGGAGCCTGAAAGTATAGATCAGACTTCTGGATCTACCCTGTACCAACAATTTTTCTTTAAAAAGCTCATCTGACTTCACAGTATCTCAATTTCAATGGAGGTTCTATTTTCAAATACAAATTAATAAATGAGCAAAAGGAAGTCTTTCAGGTGTGGATGAAATTCAATGCCTACTTACCCAACTGACCACATGCCACCAATGAGACCTGAAACAAGTCCCAGCGTACTTAATCCCTCTTCAAATCCATTTTCACTGAAAAGAGAAATATGAGTGCATCCATTATTAAAAGGAAAACCTACATAAAAGAAAAAAGTTGTATGATAGATGCATTAAGAGAAACCACAGGTAATCTGGGCAAGAGCAAGAACACTCTGCTTTGTAAGATAATGCAGCTCAGTGGCAAAGCATGGCTAAGCATGCAAAGGCCCAAGTTTAATCCCCAGCACTAAAAATTTAAAAAGAAAAAAGAAAAAAACTAATTTGGAGGAATTTTCATCATATCAAGTGCTTACAGAATATATAATAAAGAAATTCATAAAAATAAAAAAGAAAGGTGGGCAGAAGAGATTTCATGAAAATCAAAGGGCGATAGTAAAGAAAAAGGATCAGGAAGTGGGTGGGAAGAGAAGGTGGAGGGGGGAAGTGCAGGGGAGTGATATTGGCCAAATTATATGGTTACATTATGTTCATGTATGAATATGTAACAACAAATACCACCCATTATAGTACAACTCTAATGCACCAATTAAAAAAAATTGGAAAGAGGAAAAAAATTAAGTGGTAAAGTGTTTATCCTAAGTAGATAGTGGAAAGTTAAGACTGTAATTAAAATCCATAGAACAACCACCAAAAAATTTTACAAAGAAATGTAGTAGAAAACTACAATAAGTTATTTCTTTTATATAAAAAAAGAAATTCATAAAATGAGATGAAAGTGTGAGGAGAATAATGGGCAGCTTTAAGAAAACACAGGCAGCTTCTTATTTCTACAACTGCTGAACTGACCCAGCATAGCCTTGGTACTTACAGTTCTTCACCAATGTGCTCATCAAACCAAGGAATGATGGACAGGTGACAGAAGCCTCATCACCCTGTGGTCTTGTATGGATTCCACCATGAAAGGGGCACAAGGCAAAAGTCTTTCCATTTTGCAATGGCTTTTCCAAATTACATGTATGCTAAGGCAAAAACCAAGCCAAGCATCTATCTTCAACCTGCTCTACCTATGTGTATTAATAATACTATATATTATAATTTACATGATTTTATAATTATTTACATGCATATACATACATATGCATTCTATGGCATGAAGATTTACTATTGGGGGGAAAAATCCAATATCCTACAAAATTGAAAAATTCAAGAAAGCCTGTCACACTCACTGCTGTTTGCAGCACAGTTCTTGAAGCGACGAGAGTAACTTACTATGCACAACTGAGAATCTCCGGAAAAGTCGGAATTATACTCATTCCAGCAGAGAAGCCATTTATAACTAATATCAACACCAGCAGCCACAGCTGACTACAAAAGAGTTTTGGAGAACACAAAAACAAACACATTAGCATTTTTAGAGCTATAAAACTTAATGCTAAGACATGCAGGAACCCAGAGAAGTTTGTTTCATAGATGAGGTGACTGGCCTCGTTCCCATTCCCCTATGATGGTGTGTTTCATCCTGTTGAGTCACCCTTCAGTCCCTCGTATTCACCCATGTGGTGTCTCAGTCTCTTTGGTCACACACATCACAGGTCTGGGGCCAACCTGCCTTCCCAACACACAAAATTTTTTCAAAAGTGGTTAAAATATCAATACTAACTCTGGTCATTGAATCACTTGGCTTTGAAATTTAATTAACCCCAAACAACGGCAAAGAAAGAAAGGTATAAGACAGAAATTAACATTTGTTCTACATCAGGCACTAGGCCAGTTATTTAATGAACAGTATCTCATTTTTTTTATTAGTTGTTCAAAACATTACAAAGTTCTTGACATATCATATTTCATACATTTGATTCAAGCGGATTATGAACTCCCATTATTACCCTATATACATAATGCAGATTCACATCGGTTACACATCCACTTTTTTACCTACTGCCATACTAGTGTATGTTGTATTCTGCTGCCTTTCCTAACCTCTACTATCCCCCCTCCCCTCCCCTTCTCTCCCCTCCCATCCCCTCCCTTCCCGTCTTCTCTCCCTACCCCATCTACTGTAATTCATTTCTCTCTCTTGTTTTTCCCCCCTTTCCCCTCACTTCCTCTTATATGTAATTTTGTGTAACAATGAGGGTCTCCTTCCTTTACCATGCAATTTCCCTTCTCTCTCTCTTTCCCTCCCCCCTCTCATCCCTGTTTAGTGGTGATCTTCTCATGCTCTTCCTCTCTATTCTGTTCTTAGTTGCTCTCCTTATATCAAAGAAGACATTTGGCATTTATTTTTTTAGGGATTGGCTAGCTTCACTTAGCACAATCTGCTCTAGTGCCATCCATTTCCCTGCAAATTCCATGATTTTGTCATTTTTTAGTGCAGAGTAATACTCCATTGTGTATAAATGCCACATTTTTTTATCCATTAATCTATTGAAGGGCATCTAGGTTGGTTCCACAGTCTAGCTATTGTGAATTGTGCTGCTATGAACATTGTTGTAGCTGTGTCCCTACAGCACGCTCTTTTAAGGTCTTTAGGGAATAGTCCAAGAAGGGGAATAGCTGGGTCAAATGGTGGTTCCATTCCCAGCTTTCCAAGGATTCTCCATACTGCTTTCCAAATTGGCCGCACCAATTTGCAGTCCCACCAGCAATATACAAGTGTACCCTTTTCCCCACACCCTCGCCAGCACTTGTTGTTGTTTGACTTCATAATGGCTGCCAATCTCATGGGAGTGAGATGGTATCTTAGGGTGGTTTTGATTTGCATTTCTCTGACTGCTAGAGATGGTGAGCATTTTTTCATGTACTTGTTGATTAATTGTATATCCTCCTCTGAGAAGTGTCTGTTCAGGTCCTTGGCCCATTTGTTGATTGGGTTATTTGTTATCTTATTGTTTAATTTTTTGAGTTCTTTGTATACTCTGGATATTAGGGCTCTATCTGAAGTGTGAGGAGTAAAAATTTGTTCCCATGATGTAGGCTCCCTATTTACCTCTCTTATTGTTTCTCTTGCTGAGAAAAAAACTTTTTAGTTTAAGTAAGTCCCATTTGTTGATTCTTGTTATTAACTCTTGTGCTATGGGTGTCCTATGAAGAAATTTGGAGCCCGACCCCACAGTCTGTAGGTCGGAGCCAACTTTTTCTTCTATCAGACGCAGAGTCTCTGATTTGATATCAAGCTCCTTGATCCATTTTGAGTTAACTTTTGTGCATGGCGAGAGAAAGGGATTCAGGTTCATTTTGTTGCATATGGATTTCCAGTTTTCCCAGCACCATTTGTTGAAGATGCTATCCTTCCTCCATTGCATGCTTTTAGCCCCTTTATCAAATATAAGATAGTTGTAACTTTGTGGATTAGTCTCTGTGTCCTCTATTCTGTACCATTGGTCCACCCGCCTGTTTTGGTACCAGTATCATGCTGTTTTTGTTACTATTGCTCTGTAATATAGTTTGAAATCTGGTATCGCTATACCGCCTGATTCACACTTCCTGCTTAGAGTTGCTTTTGCTATTCTGGGTCTTTTATTTTTCCATATGAATTTCATGATTGCTTTATCTATTTCTACAAGAAATGCTGTTGGGATTTTGATTGGCATTGCATTGAACCTATAGAGAAGTTTTGGAAATATCGCCATTTTGATGATGTTAGTTCTGCCTATCCATGAACAGGGTATATTTTTCCATCTTCTAAGATCTTCAGGGTTTTGTAGTTTTCATTGTATAAGTCTTTCACATCTTTTGTTAGGTTGATTCCCAAGTATTTTTTTTTTTTTGAGGATATTGTGAATGGGGTGTTTTTCCTCATTTCCAATTCAGATGTTTTGTTGCTGATATACAGGAATGCCTTTGATTTATGCCTGTTGATTTTATATCCTGCCACTTTGCTGAATTCACTTATTAATTCTAGTAGTTTCTTTGTAGACCCTTTTGGGTCTTCTAGGTATAGAATCATGTCATCTGCAAACAGTGATAATTTAAGTTCTTCTTTTCCTATTTTGATGCCTTTAATTTCTTTCGTCTGTCTAATTGCTCTGGCCAGTGTTTCGAGAACTATGTTGAACAGAAGTGGTGAGAGAGGGCATCCCTGTCTTGTTCCAGATTTTAGAGGGAATGCCTTCAATTTTTCTCCATTCAGAATGATGCTAGCCTGAGGCTTAGCATAGATAGCTTTTACAATGTTGAGGTAAGTTCCTGTTATCCCTAGTTTTTCTAGTGTTTTGAACATAAAGGGATGCTGTACTTTGTCGAATGCTTTTTCTGCGTCTATCAAGATGATCATATGGTTCTTATCTTTGAGTCTATTGATGTGGTGAATAACATTTATTGATTTCCATATATTGAACCATCCTTGCATCCCAGGGATGAATCCTACTTGATCATGGTGCACAATTTTTTTGATGTGTTTTTGTATCCGATTTGCCAGAATTTTATTGAGGATTTTTGCACCTAGGTTCATTAGAGATATTGGTCTGTAGTTTTCTTTCTTTGAGGTGTCTTTGTCTGGTTTCGGTATCAGGGTGATGTTGGCCTCATAGAATGAATTTGGAAGGGCTCCCTCTTTTTCTATTTCCTGAAATAACTTGAAAAGTATTGGTTTTAATTCTTCTTTAAAGGTTTTGTAAAACTCCGCTGTATACCCATCCGGTCCTGGGCTTTTCTTGGTTGGTAGTCCTTTGATTGCTTCTTCTATTTCATCCATTGATATTGGTCTGTTCAAATTGTGTGTATCCTCCTGATTCAGTCTGGGCAAATCATATGACTTAAGAAATTTATCGATGTCTTCACTATCTTCTATTTTATCGGAATATAGGGTTTCCAAATAATTTCTAATTGTCTTCTGTATTTCTGTAGCATTTGTTGTGATATTTCCTTTTTCATCTCGTATGTTAGTAATTTGAGTTCTCTCTCTTCTTCTCTTCGTTAGCATGGCTAAGGGTCTGTTGATCTTATTTATTTTTTCAGAGAACCAACTTTTAGTTTTGTCAATTTTTTCAATAGTTTCTTTTGTTTCAATTTCATTGATTTCTGCTCTGATTTTAATTATTTCTTGCCTTCTGCTATATTTGCTGTTGTTTTGTTCTTCCTTTTCTAGGGCTTTGAGATGAAGTGTGAGCTCATTTATTTGTTGGTTTTTTCTTTTTTTGAGGAAGGACCTCCAGGCAATGAATTTCCCTCTTAAAACTGCTTTCATTGTGTCCCATAGATTCTGATATGTTGTGTCTGTATTTTCATTTGTCTCTAAGAATTTTTTGATTTCCTCCTTTATGTCTTCTGTAACCCATTAATCATTCAGTAACATATTGTTCATTTTCCATGAGATGTATGATTTTTCCTTCCTTCTTTTGTGGTTGATTTCCAGTTTCATTCCATTATGATCAGATAGAATGCATGGTATTATCTCCACCCCTTTATATTTACTGAGGGTTGCCCTATGGCATAATATATGGTCTATTTTTGAGAAGGATCCATGTGCTACTGAGAAAAAAGTATATCCACTTGATGATGGTTGATATATTCTATATATGTCAGTTAAGTCTAGGTTATTGATTGTGGTATTCAGTTCTATTGTTTCTTTATTCAACTTTTGTTTGGAGGATCTGTCCAATGGTGAGAGAGGAGTGTTGAAGTCACCCATAATTATTGTGTTGTGGTCTATTTGATTCTTGAACTTGAGGAGAGTTTGTTTTATGAATGTCGCAGCACCATTATTTGGTGCATAAATATTGATAATTGTTATGTCTTGTTGGTGAATGGTTCCTTTTAACAGTATATAATGTCCTTCCTTATCCCTTTTGATTAACTTAATCTTGAAGTCGATTTTAGTCGATATGAGGATGGCCACCCCTGCTAGCTTACGAGGACCGTGTGTGTGGTATGTTTTTTCCCAACCTTTCACCTTCAGCCTGTGTATGTCTTTTCCAATCAAATGTGTCTCCTGGAGGCAGCATATTGTTGGATTTGTTTTTTTAATCCATGTTACCAGCCTATGTCGCTTTATTGGTGAGTTTAAGCCATTTACGTTTAGAGTTACTATTGATATATGATTTGTATTTCCAGCCATGTTTGATTATTTATCTTTTTTTTTTTAAATTTGGTTTGTTTCTCCATGATTAGCTTTCCCCCTGTTGTCTGGCTTACTGAGGTACTTCCCACTGTTGGTTTTGGTTATTGTTTTTCATTTCTTCCTCGTGCAGTGTTTTGCTCAAGATGCTTTGCAATGCTGGTTTTCTGGCTGCAAATTCTTTTAACTTTTGTTTATCATGAAAGATTTTTATTTCGTTGTCATACCTGAAGCTTAATTTTGCTGGGTACAAAATTATTGGTTGGCATCCATTGTCTTTCAGAGTTTGAAATATGTTGTTCCAGGATCTTCTCGCTTTCAGCGTCTGTGATGAAAAATCCGTTGTTAACCTTATTGGTTTACCCCTGAATGTAATCTGCCTCCTTTCTCTTGTAGCTTTTAATATTTTCTCTTTGTTCTGTATATTGGATATCTTCATAACAATGTGTCTTGGCGTTGGTCTACTGTGATTTTGTATGCTCGGTGTCCTGTATGCATCTACAATTTGTACATCCATTTCCTTTTTTATGTCTGGAAAGTTTTCTATAATTATTTCAGTCAACAGGTTGTCCATTCCCTTGGTTTGAACCTCTATGCCTTCCTCTATCCCGATGACTCTTAAGTTTGGTTTTTTTATGTTATCCCATATCTCTTGGATGTTTTTCTCGTGATTTTTTACCAGCCTTCCTGAGTTGGCTAGGCTCTTTTCAAGATGATATATTTTGTCTTCATTATCTGATGTTCTGGCTTCTACTTGCTCCACTCTGTTGGTGATACTCTCAATTGAGTTTTTAATTTGGGTTATAGTTTCCTTCATTTCTAAAATTATTGTTTGATTTTTTTTATAATCTCTATCTACTGATAAAGATGCTTATTTGCTTCTTTTATTTGCTTGTGTATTTCATTTTCAATGAGTTCTTTCATTGTTTGAATTTGCTGTCTCATATCCTCTCTAAGATTCCATTCCATCTGTCTAAGGTATTCTTTGAGTTCTTTATTTGGCCATTTTTCTGATGCCTCTAGGTCCTCCTGTATATTTGGGCTGTCCTGCATTGTTTGTACTCCTTTTCTTCCTTGCTTTTTCATGCTGCTTATGTTACTTCTTGCTCTGTTTGACTGCTAAGTTACTGTTTACTCCTATAAATTTATTTGGTTTTGTGTGTCTCTGGGGTCTCTCTTTTGTGATGGGAGACTATGACTAGAGATGATGAGTTTTGTTGCACTGTAATGTAGATTCATTCGTTTCCTAAACTGTGTGCGGATTCTGATGGCATATAGCGGTCTGCGGTTTGGTCTTGGGACTTATATTTAGGTCGAATGATGTGGTATTGAGGTTAGTATCTCTTGGCAACCTTGGAAGGTTGCTCTACTGACGAGGGATATTAACAGGAGAATGGTCTGGAGTATTTGGGGGAAGTTAAGGTCTTGGTAGCACTATATAACGCCTCGGAACATTGACCTATACATATTTAGTAAATTACACATAAACAGCGTCGTATTGCTTGGGAGGAAAGGTATTAGAAGGGAAGGGAAGAAGTCACTAAAGAGAATGAGAGTAAACAGATAGAATTCAAGGAAAGGGGAATAAGGAAATTGAAAAGACAAAAGAAAAAAATAGAGAATAAAAAAAGAAAAAAATTAAAAAAAATAAAAAATAATCAAAAAAGTGATAGTAAAAAATAAGTAAATAATACAAAAAATATTTTAAAAAATTAAAAAGAAAAAAAAAATTAAAATTAAAAATTAAAAAATGCAGTCTTAGAGTTCGATTAACTTCTCTTCCAGTAGGTGGAGCTGTGCCCACCGGGCCAAGCTTCTCCTCTCAGTGCGCGGGAACCAATCACTGTGCAGCAGCTCCTCCTCCCCGACTGGGCGGGTCTCCACTCCTGAGTGTCTCGGGCCGTTTCTTGTGTCTAGTCACCTCGCCACTGGCCCCGTTCACAGGTGACACTCACCACAGTACTGGCTACATGCCAGGTCTGCTGCTCACGGGAGCCCTATCTTCTTGAACAACTGGGCACCCTATCCCTGCCTGCCAATCCCTCAGCCCCTAAGGTTGTGGAGATTGGGGCTGAGAGCCCTCGGCGTATTTTGCTTGCCCTCTGGTAGCCACGCCCCCAGGAGCTGGTGCAAGAGACCTCAGTTGTCTGCGCTGGTGGGAGTGGTAGCCCGGGGGGTCCCGCGCCGCAGGTCCCACGCCACTCCTGAATCCCTCGGTCTGACTATCATGCTCATGGGAGAGCTGGGAGGGGCCCTTGAGGTTTCCCTGCTGTGTGGAGGGGGGGGCTAGGGGATTACACACCTGTCGCCGCTGGTATCAATGAAGTTATCTCCTCCGCCACTTTCTGATGACATCAGATCTCTGCCATGTTGGTATCACATGTGAATGGCAGCATTTCGTTCCCTTTGCCGGGTGACCAAAACAACGGGTGGGTCCTGACCGGCCCTCTCAAGCCCCGTCTCAATCCTGTTGCCACTGCCGATGAAGGCTCAGTTGGTATTTACCTCCACAGTATTCAGCAGGACCCGGACCAAGAAGCAGTTTCCACGGGTTCTTTAGCCCTGAGCCAGAGCAGTTTGTCTGCGAGACGCAGGCGAATGGGAGCCGGATTTCGGCCGCTCTGGGCTCGGTGTATGTTCTGATAGGAGCAGGCTCCGAGAAGCAGTTTCCGCGGGTTCTTTAGCACTGAGCCTGAGCAGTATGTCTGCGAGATGCAGGCGAACGGCAGCCTGAAATTACCTGTTCTATAGCTGAATGAGCTGCAATCAGTCGAAAACAGGTGATGGTGACGTCAGCTCTCTAAGATGGTGGCCGCTGGCTTCCTCGGTGGTCTGACCGGTGTGGAGAACTGAACTGGACTGCTTCCTTCCCCGTCTCAAACCCAGAATTCAGCACTGAGCACAGTGAGGGCACAGCCGGCAGGAGCCCGCAGAATCCGCAGCGCCGTATCTTTGCGTTGCTAGCTCGTTTCCCGGCGCGTGCCACAGTCTCTAGCAGCGGGGCGATTTGCTGAATAAGCAGCTTGACCCTCCGTGCGGACAAATCGCTTGCGTTTGAGCCCCAGTAACTAATCCTCGGGCGATGGAAATCCTTCCTCTAGGTTTTGGAGCACCCCAATTTTGCTGGAAATTCCTAACAAGATAGCTTTTAGCCGTTCTAACTCGTCATTCTCCCACACAGTGACATGGTACACGGGGGTGATGCACTCCCTTCACCGCCATCTTCCCTGACCCCCAGTATCTCATTTAATCCTTGTAATGTTACTGTAATCATTGGCTCCTTTTGGTAAATAATAAGAAAATTGAGGCTCTTAAAAATTGTGTTTGCCCCAGTTCACAGTACCAGTTAAGTGGCAAAGCGAAAATTCAAATTTAAGTCTGAAAGACACTGAAATCCTTCTCTTTCCATGATGTCTATCTTAACCTGGAAGTGTCTAAAAAGGTCTAAGAAACTTTCATCTTACTTTAGCAAATAAATTATATAAACAAGCTTGAATGAGCATTGAATACATCTAATGATGACACAGAAATAAAAGATTTGGTCCCTGCCTCAGAAGAGAGGAAGAAAAATAGAAAAAAACAAAAATATATTCTAAGAATTATCAACCCCAGGTGAACAGCAACAAATTCTATTTTCAAAGTGAGTGCAAACAAGGGAGTGATAAGTGTTTTTCTCATTTGGTAAAGATTTCAGGCATTTCTGTTTGCTTGAACCTATGCTAGCTTCTAGTAAAGTAAAATACTGTCAATATAATAAACAATTCAATATAGGCCTAAATCAAAGTAATTATTTAAATATTAAGGATTTTTAAATATTAAACTATATTAACATTGTTTAAAAATAATTTTTAATGCTATTTTGTCCAAAATAGAAGAAAAAAATTACCTTTCAATGTGTAAGAAAGGGACGGGTCCTAAGAGCATGTAGCACCCTGCTGTGATTAAGTTTCCAAAAACCAGACACCATTTCCTTAGATGCTGATAAAGAGAAAGAGTCCAAAGAAACTCTTAAAGACTCCCCTTCTAACATTATAAAACACAATCATTAAAGCACACAAGTCATGATATTTGAAAATTCAAATGCAACTTTACATTTAAGAGAAAATAAGCAGATGAAAAAATCAAAAGCAAGGACAGTAGACCATAGGATAGAAAATTGAATAAAGGACAAGAATTCCTTAGGAAGGGGATGAAGTGCAGATTTTGCACATCATTAACTACTCCGAATATAGATCAATTTATAAAGTAGCCACTGTAAGGAACTCAGCAAGTACCTCAATACCTAGACTGAGCATCTTTTAAAAGTATCTGCTACAGAGTGAATGAATGTGTACCCCCCACATTCATGCTAAACCCCAAGGCCCACTGCAATCATATGCAGAGGTGAGGCTTTGGAAGTAATTTGATCAGGAGGATGGAGCCCTCCTGAAAGGGATTAGTATCTTTACAAAAGAGGCAACAGAGAGCTCCTTCGCCTCTTCTTCCATATGAAGTTATAGGGAAAAGATACCATTTATGGGGGCTGGGGTTGTAGCTCAGTGGTAAGTGCTTGCCTAGCACTCTACCTGCCCAACACCTAGTGGGCTTAAGGCCCTGGGTTTGATGCTCATCACCACATAAAGATAAACGAGTAAAATAAAGGTATTGTATCCATCTACAACTACAAAAATTTTTTTTAATAATTTCTTTTAAAAAAATACCATTTATGTATCAGAAAATGGGCCCTCATCAGATACCAATCTGCCAGTGCCTGAATCTGGGACCTATGCCAGCCTCCAGACCTATGAAAAAGAAACTTCTATTTTCTATTAGCCTTTCTGGTTTATGATATTTTGTATGGCAATCTGAGCAGCCTAGGATGGCATCCAGTAAAATTATTCCTTACGAATTACTTGAATCAGCCTAAAAGTTACAGGGGTATAATAAGTTATATAAGACTACATCTTAAAACCAAGTTCCAAACATTGTTTAAGACACTGGCTCCTTGTTACTTGGGTTAATAAGTGATTCCCACATAATGTAGGTCTTGACAAATATATATGCACAGCTAATGAAGAGGGACAGCAGAGCGTGGTGGTGCACACCTGTATTCCCAGGTACCTGAGAAGCTGAGGCAGGAGGAATGTCAGTTTGAGGCCAGCCTCAGCAACTCAGCAAAATCCTGTCACAAAATTAAAAATAAAAATGGCTTGGAGTGTAGTGTACTGTTAGAGCACTTGCCTAGCATGTATAAGGCTCTGTGTTCAGTTCTCAGTACCAATAACAAAGAAAGAAAAGAAAATATTGAGAAAACTGCAAAAGAGAAAATGCAAAAAATACGTGTTTAATCCATAGAAAGGAAAATGTGTATAAGTACCAAAGTCATAGAAAAAGCCACAGAAATGTGAGATTTGATGAACAGTACTAATTCTATATACTAGTTACCTGGATTTAATAGGTTAGGCTTACTTAAAAGAGAACAAACAGAATTTTCCATTAAGGTGACTACAGGATATAAGATAATCAATGCATACTTACATGCCAATCCTTTCATTCCCCCAGAAACCCTAAATTACCTCCTCATAAAGGACAACCTCTCAATTGATCAAATCCGGTCAGAACCTCCAGAACTCTGATTAATCTTTTTTTTTTTTCCTGCACCCAAGAGTTTTTCCTTTAGGAAGTATAATCCTTTTTTTTTTTTTTTTTTTTTTGGTTGATTTTTTAAATTTATGTTTTTATGTAAATTTTTTATTTACCTATGACAGCAGAATGCTTATTACATATATAGAACACTATCTCTGGTTGTATACATAGTATATTCACACCAATTCATATCTTCATACAAATACTTTGGATAGTAATGATCATTACATTCCACCATCATTAATAACCCCATGCCCCCTCCCACCCCTCTGCCCTATCTAGAGTTTGTCTATTCCTCCCATGCTCCCTCTCCCCATCCCACTATGAATCAGCCTCCTTATATCAAAGAAAACATTCGACATTTGATTTTTTGGGATTGGCTAACTTCACTTAGCATTATCTTCTCTAACTCCATCCATTTACCTGCAAATGCCATGTTTTTATTCTCTTTTATTGCTCAGTAATATTCCATTGTGTATATATGCCACAATGCAAATTAAAACCACTCTAAAATTTCATCTCACTCCAGTCAGAATGGTAGCTATTATGCATACAAACAACAATAAGTTTCGGTGAGGATGTAGGGAAAAAGGTACACTCACGCACTGCTAGTGGGACTACAAATTGGTGCAGCCTATATGGAAAGCAGTATGGAGATTTCTTGGAAAATTGGGAGTGGAACCACCATTTGACCCAGCTATCCGTCTCCTTGGTCTATACCAAAAAGACTTAAAAACAGCATACTACAGGGACACAGCTACATCAATGTTTATAGCAGCACAATTCACAATAGCTAAACTGTGCAACCAACTTAGATGCCCTTCAATAGATTAATGGATTAAAAAAAAATATGGCATATATACACAATAGAAAGTATAATCCTTTTAACATAAGACTTCTCTTTTCCCAGATTAAGCAATTAAAAGTGAATCTGCAGAAGACACTGGAGTTTCTCTAGCAGTCCAATTGAGTGTGTCAATTTCCATCAATGGACCATTATTTTTAAAGGAACAGTTGGAAGATCACTGATATAAAAGATCACATATAAATGAGGTGTACATACCGGCATTTTATCACTTAGCAGGCCAAAGAGTGGTGAAGAAATGGCATAGGATAGTGCCAAACCCAGGAAGACCAGTCCCACATATCCGGCTGGTAAATGAAACTGAAAAACAAACCCTACATTCAAGTTACATGGTTAAGTCATTTTCAAAAACCAAGTATCCACCTCTCCCGCCTGTCATTTCTTCAACTCTTACTATTACCCCGATTCTACTGATAAACACGCAGCAGTATTCCTAATTTTTGTCTGTTTTGCTTTGTAATTTTTGATATTAATCATATTCAGTTAGATGAATACATAACAATGAATTCCACCATTATGTATAATTATAATGCATCAATAAAAATATGGAAAAAAAAACATAATTTAGTTTGTATGGATTATAGCATTTTAATGTCTAATCCAGTGTTTCACAATTTTTTTGTGTACATAAAAATTACATAGAGAACTTATTCAAACAGGTTCTTGGATCTAAGCCCTGGGGTTTGTGATTCAGAAATTGGGGAATGGAATGGGGCCTGAGGATGTGTATTTCTAATCAGCATCACTGATACTCATAATCCACAGACTGCACTTGGGGGTCCACTGGTATGAAAACCACTGATGTATCTACTTTCTCCATCTCAAAAGAATATTAATATCTAATTTAAATGTATAAGACATGATCCATTTTAAAAGAATTTTCAAACAGTAAGCTCTTATACAAATCTGATAATATTGCCAACCTGATATTGATATCTTTGGGAGTGGTATCTAAATTGTTTTCTGTCAGGGACTAGAAGGAAATTCTCCTTCAAAGATTAGCCTGACAGCCCCCTGGGAGACATCCTGCCCGGGAGGCATCCTGCAGCCACCTATCTCCCTGGAACATCCTGCGGTTATCAGGATCATCAGACATCTTGCACCTGGCAGTTTTACCACCCACATCCAGCAATTGCTGATTACAGAGCTTCCCCATCCCCAGCATATAAATACCCCTGTGTGAACAATAAAAGTTTGCAGCTTGATCAGACCCCTGTCTTGCTGTCACCTTGTGTCTCTTGTCCCTTCATTCCTCCCCATCTAGGTTCGCTGCCCACATTGATGTGTCCTGCCGGATGGGACAGTTTTCACTTTCCTTATCTAACAAGTCAAGATATAATCAATATATTTATGAGTTTGTATGACAAATACTAGCTCATATTAAGAAATTAATCCTTTAAAGATAGTAACAAGATACAAGAGCCTGGAATTTTCCTCTTCTTATTTTACGACTAGAAGGGTAAAGAGTAGCACCATCTTAATCCACGAGTCTACACAACCAGTGATCCTACAGCAAACTGCCAATTTTAAAAATATAAGCTATCAGAAGAAAAACAATTTTTAAAATGTTGATGGGCAAACAGGAAAATAAACGTCTACAGATTACTTAGGTTGGAGTTTGCTAGCAGGATGGAGCAGCAGCACTTGCTTGAAGTAGGGAAGAAAAAGCAATAGACCCACCAGCACCCCTGAGGGCACAATGGGTCTGATGCCAAACGAATAGGAACAAGCAGGGGTGCCCCAACCTCTCATGCTACAAATGGGCCAACTACAGTGGTCTTTGGAGAAACCTCCTCTCGTCTTCTTCCCTTTTGAATACACTATTTTCTGGAGCAAAACCAATCTTTTTTAACAAAAATTTATTCTAAGATATAAACAACTTGAGTTTCTCCAAGATCAGTTACAGATATGTGTGTGTGTGTGTGTGTGTGTGTGTGTGTGTAGACACAACTTATTAAGAGCACAGAAAAATGCCTCAAAGGGGCATGTTGTTGAAGACGTGGATGGATTGTGAAACCCTAAACACACAGTATTTTCATTATGTTTATTATGGACTTCATTGATCTCATGGGTTAAGGGCCATTTCAAATTATTCTCTAAACCTTGGAACAGCACAAGGTCTCCCAAGTTCTTCTGTGAAATTCTCAAAATTGTCTTTAGTGATTTCAAGGGGTAGTGTGCAATTATAAGAAAATCTAAGTTTAATCCATATATTATACACTAGGTCAATGATCAGAAAGCACATGAAATTACCATATTAGAAACTTTACTGAAACTTACATTTCCAGTAATGGTACTGTTTAATTTTAATGCTTTATATAAGGACAGTGTAAGCTAAAGTTAGTATGTTTTTGTCTCTATAGACATATATTAATTCTCCAGTAATTAACTTGGCTGCATCATTATCTTTCTTCATAAATATCTAAAAGCAGGGAGGGGCTGGGGATGTCGCTCAGTGGTAGAGCACTTGACCAGCATGCACAAGGTCCTGTGTTTGGTCCCTAACACTATACACACAAAAGAGAGAAGAAAAAAAAATCTAAGAATGAATTTCTAGGCCAACAGACATTTAGAACTCAACTTTGTAGCACAGGAGATTCTTGGTTGCTTTCTCCCATCCCAGACTGATATAGTTCAAAGTCATCATTACATTGATTGTATCAAATAAACTAAAAAGTAAGGGGATCAGGAGAGACTGCTGGAGGAGTACACCTCATATCAAATGAGCTGATAAGTACCCTTCATGCCTCCCTGGAACTCAAACAAATACAGGAAATGTGTCTTTGTTAAGCAGTATGGACGATGCCCAAGCCAGTCCTATAATGACATGAGCAAGGTCTTGGAAAGGAGACCAACATTTTGAGCGTTTGTGAAAGGATCAGATCCCTAGCTCAAATCACACAGGGAAGGCACACGGTTCGTTGGTGTGCAGCTCCCATTCCACCTCCTCTCACAGTCAGTAAGGTCTTTCCCTAGGAAGAGCCCAGGAGCATGCAATTATATCCACCTGTCACAAAGAAGAGTTCTTCGACACTCATGTTACTTACCTTCTCCAAAACAAAGAGAGACAGAATCGGATCAAGGAAGCCAAAGCAGGAACTGAGAGAGATGATGACAAAGGCTATCAGGCCAACTTTCGGTAAAGTGACAAGCTTCCAGAATGAGTGTTCACCTGGATCAGCCTCTGGAGTAAAAATGAAAAAAAGGAATAAATCGTAGACACATCTCTTTATCTTATAACTTATTTTTAAAAGTCAGATTGGTAAGGCCATCCTTTTATAGTAATCAAAATAACTTTGGAACCTCTGAGTTCATCTAAAATTATATATCACCTATCTTTGTACATGAGTTACTCAAATCTAGACCTCAAATCAGAGGTCACATTTAGTTTTATAAAAAATAGTTTCCAGACTGGTGTGGGGGTGCACTTCTGTAATCCCAGCAACTCGGGAAGTTGAGGCAGGAGGATTGCAGGTTCAAGACCAGCCTTAGCAACTTAGCAAGGCCCTAAGCAACTGAGTGAGACCCTGTCTCAAAGTAAAAAATAAAAAGGGCTTGAGATGAGACTCAATGGTTAAGCAACCCTGGGTTCAAAAAAAAGTAACAACAAAAAAAAAAAATTCCCAAACCCAAAAAGAATCAACTGGAATCAGAATGTGAGTAGAAGAAGAGGTCTCAGGTTTTAGGTTATAACTGAGAAGTAAGGCCTCCCCTTGATAGGATAGAGAATGTGCAGAGTTTGATTTGACACAGGGAAAAGTATCACCAGTTCCTTACCAAGGAAGAATATGGGTGTGCTTAAGGAGAAACTTGCATTAATTAAAAAAAAAAAAAAAAAAAAAGTTATGTCTTTTTCTGTTGGCAAAGCAAACACTAGATTGTAAGTGGGGCTACTGACCTTATGGGAATTACTTTTAACATCCAAGGTGTAAGTTCAAATGAACTCCCATCCCATTCCCTACCATTCTTCAATAGTAAGTAACCCCTACTTCTTCACTGTTTCAAGCATCAGGCACGGTTCTCTCCAAGCCTCCACAAGTACTGCATGACCCATTTCTTATTTCCTTGCTAATTTTTCAAATTCTGTTTATGCTATAAGAACTGGCTCTAGCCCTAACTCATTGATTTTACCTTCCTCTGGTTTCCTACTGCACTTCCAATCTATATTACATAATTTAACACTGAAATCATATTTCCCTTTGTGTTTACTATTGTTTGATGACTTTCTTCCAGTTAATTTACTGAGCAAAATCTTTGCTGAGCCAGGCATCACACAAAACTGTATGCACAAGGATAAACAAGACAGTTCCAGACACCGTCCTTGCAGAAAAGTTACAACAAGGGGTGAAGATAGCTAGGATGGAATCCGAAAGGGGATGGGATATGAGAGAGCTGTCTTAAAATGCATCAGAGAGCTACACAAGAAAGGCTTTTAAAGTAGTGATATCTAAGCTGGAGCCTAAAGAATGAGCTTGAGATGAGCAAGTAAAGAAGGAAGAAAGAATAATCCAGGCATGTTATTTAAAGACTTAGAAGCGAGAAAAGAACTATTTTGTGTGTGAGAAAATGAAAGAGAAAAAGTACACTCGGAAGATCAAGATTAGGCAGAAGACACCAAGGTAGTGGGCAGAGATCACACCTTGGGAACCCAGCCAAGGAGCCTGAGAAACACTATGGGTTTCAGGCCGGGAATGAGAATAAATGTGTGGTTCAGAGAGATCGTTCTGTGGCCCCATGGAGGGGGATAGTTAGCAGGTGGCCACAGCAATCCTATCCAGATACCATGCTGGATTTGAACTTGGAAGTTCTTTGAGGGCAAGGATCAGCCCTCATATATCATCATTTCTCCTGCAGCACTTAGCACAGCTAATCACTCTAAAAATACTTGTTGAGGGCCAGGGTTGTGGCTTAGTGTTAGAGCGCTTGCCTAGCATATGTGAGGCACTGGGTTCGATCCTCTGCACCACATAAATGATTAAATAAATGAAAAGACTTGTTGAATAATGATTAAGTATGGGGCAAAGCACAAAAAAAATCCACGGAGTGATTCAACTATTTTAAGTACTATGCTTAAGACTTTTTCAGGATACAGCAGATGAAGTTAAACCTCATGCTAGTTTTTTAATTTACCAATTGAGTATTTAACAGGGAAGCAAATCTCAGCACAGTCACCATGTTTCATTTCAGAAACAGCATGTAGTTCAATTTAGGAGAACTAGCACCACCATGTGTCTCTGTGAGGTATTGTCAGCTGGGAGATGGTTGGGTGTGAATATTGAGTTATATATACTCTTTATTATTCACCTTTAAAATAAGAATTACTAAAGATTCCAATTTTAATTGGCTACCTTTATCATACATGCAAAAATTAATATATGTTAAGGTAGAACAGAAACCATTGCGACATAAATGGTTCCCTTAAAAACATCTATAAACAAATGCCAAATGTTTTCTTTGATATAAGGAGAGTAACTAAGAACAGAGTAGGGAGGAAGAGCATGAGAAGAAGATCACCATTAAACAGGGGTGAGAGCTGGGAAGTAAAAGGAAAGAAAAGGGAAATTGCATGGAAATGGAAGGAGACCCTCATGGTTATACAAAATTACATACAAGAGGAAGTGAGGGGAAAGGGGAAAAAAAAAAAAACAAGGGGGAGAAATGAATGACAGTAGATGGGGTAGAGAGAGAAGATGGGAGGGGAGGGGATGGGGGATAGTAAAGGATAGGAAAGGCAGCAGAATACAACAGACACTAGTATAGCAATATGTAAAACAGTGGATGTGTAACCTATGTGATGCTGCAATCTGTATCCGGGGTAAAAATGGGAGTTCATAACCCACTTGAATCAAAGTGTGAAATATGATTTGTCAAGAACTATGTAATGTTTTGAACAACCAACAATAAAAATTAAAGAAAAAAAATCTATGGAAAGGAACACATTATTAGTTAATCAATTAAAGTTGACCTCAAGGGATGCTCAGTAGAATTACCTGAGGAGTGTTTCAAAGCTACCTGGATATTCCCTCAGTTTTCTCCATATTCTGATATATTCTTCTTGGAGAGATGTGACTCCCTGGTTGACAATGCCTGCCCTGAAGCTTCAGGTAGAGATGGGGAGATGGGGGAGTCCTTAGGTGTTGGAGGACAGGACAAAAATCTAAGCACTGCAGCACTACTTACTGAATGTCTATTCCAATGGTAAACAACACTTAGGAAAACTCCCCAGAAGAGGTAATACAAATTAAGTCTTATAGTATAAATAATTGTTAGGAAGTGTGGGAGGCGAGATTCCAGAGAAAGTGACCCCTGTACCTAAATCTAACAATAGCTCCTAATGGCTTTCAGGATAAAGTTTGTACTTGGTTAATCTGAATTTTTTTTTCAATTTTTTTAAAGTAAGGAGTAAAATTGTATATATTTTTGATGTACATATATACACTGTGGAATGGCTAAATCAAGTTTATTTAACGTGTTAAATACTTATTTTCTTGTGGTGAGAACATTAAAAAATCTCCTCTATTAGCAATTTTCAAGTACATTAGTCCCTCCTTATCTGCAGTTTTAGATTTCAGTTCTTCATGGTCAACTGTGGTCTGAAAACGTTAAATGGAAAATTCCAGAAATAATTCATAAATTTTAAATGTTTTATTATAGTATAGCTAAAACAATGGTTTTATTTTATTATTGGTTATTATTGTTAAATCTCTCACTGTACCTAATTAAGAAAATTAAACTTTATCATAGGTATGTACGTGTAGGAAAAATAGATTGTATATAGGGGTTGGTACTATCCATGATTTCAGACATCCAAAGGTAGACTTGAAACATATGCCCCATGGAGAAAGGGGGACCACTGTATACAAAATATTTTTATTAACTATAATCTCCAGGAGGTAGGATTGGTCTGTTGAACTTATTGGATTTAAGGATTTTAATAAGAGGATTTGAGGAGGTCAGGGACCCCCATGAAGAGCATCACCCCTTAAGATTAAAGAAGTAAAAACTCTGAGGAGGGAACGGAGACAGTCAAATCCCCCCACCCCTGGAAAAGAGCAAATGCACTTCAGGGACCTTAACTCATGGCTGTTAGCTACTAAAAGTATGGTATGCAATCAAATATAAACTAACAGACTAGTGAAAGGAAGTCAATAGAGTAGAGAAGGAGGATGGGAGAGGGGAGGGAGGATGGGAGAGGGGAGGGAGGGTAGGAGAGGGGAGGGAGGGTAGGAGAGGGGAGGGAGGGGGGGAGGGGGGAGGGAGGGTAGGAGAGGGGAGGGAGGGTGGGAGGAAAAAGGAAGAGGGAATGGGGGAATCATGAATTGGAATATATTTCCAGTTCATGTATGAGATTGTCAAGATGCATCCAACAACTATGTGTAAGTATAAAGCTCTAAAAAAATAATTTTAAAAAGAAGTATGGTATGTATCTTTCCCTGCCCTCTCACTGATAAGCACCTATCTGTCTCAAAAGCCAGGTGCATCATTAAAGTCAGGATACCCTCTTGCCAGGACTCTTCAAGGACAAATAACACAGAAGATAAAACTGCTGAGGAGTCACTCAAACAGCAATTTCCCAGACTCTTAACTTGTTACTCGCAGGACATGTTTTTTCCCCACAGACCTTATGTTCTCTTAACTGTAGCAACTCTGACCCCAGGCTAACCATGCCTCCCTCAAGGTTAAAGTGCTTGCCCAGGATCCACAAAGAAAGAGACTCAGAAAATGTACCCAAAACCAATTAAAATTCCTAGACTCTAGCCCATCCCTGCAAGCAGCCCTTTCATATGAATAAAACTAACTCTTTCTTTTGTCTAGAAAGCCAGACTGACACTCTCTGGCTCAATGCTATGTCTCCCCTCTGCTCAAGCAAGAAGTCCCCAAAAAGAGTTTCTTCCCATCATAGTTGTATCCTCAACTGACTCTTCTGATGGAAAGCACAGGAACCCACCAAGTTGTAACAGATTGGCATATCCATGACTCTAATTTAGATATGTTCTTATATATACAGGGAGGAGGCTCGTGAGCAGATTTAAAGAATTAGGGACAGGGACACTTAGCACCCAAAGCTAAAGCCACAAATGTCCACAGGTCTAGAGTGGCAGAACTTGTAGAATACCAAATTCTGCCAATATCAAAAGAAAAGAAAATTAGTTTAATTTTCAAACTTGTGTGTGAAAACTCTCCTAAAAGAACAATTTTTAAAAATACTCCTAAACAGGAACACCTAAATCTGCATTTACAAGTTTTAATATTATCAACCCCAGGAACTTTTTTAGTGAGTCCCCCCAACTCCACCCCTCCACCCGCCCCCCAACCTCACACCCCTGACTCAATTTAAATAAAGGATCCTTCTAGGTAAAGAAAAAAAAAATGTCAAACTGTTGGGGAGGGTTCATAAAAATATAGCTATCTGGGACTTTAAGTTCAGTAACAATGTAGGAAAAGTTTAATTGAGAAATAATAGAAAAAAAAAGGAAAAAGTACGAAGTAACTAGGCTGGTGATTAGATATGGTTGAAAAAGATAGCAAACGAGGAGGGAGAGAGAAGGTGATGTGGAGAGCAGGCCAGAACTCCAGGAGCAACAGATTTTAAGGTCAGCCTAGCAGTAATCACAGAAGTCCTAACTAAACACCTAGTTCTGCCACGGATTGGGATCTTGGCAAAGTCTTTTTTTCTATCACCTGGTGTGATGGAGTGTTATTAAAAACTCTTCTCCTGCTGCATGAGTATCTGACTGGTGTCCATTTCTTAATTATTAGCCAAGTAACCAACAAGCAAACCTGAGCACAGTCCAGGATGCTCAACTACAGAACCAAGGGTGTCATTCACTTTGAAAGACAAACATCACTATGCAGCTCAGTGGGATAGTGTGTCTCTGGCTCTGTTCTCTGCTGCTGAGTATAACAAAAACAGCCATGACTCTCTGGGCACAGTGACACGCCTGTAATCCCAGTGACTTGGGAGTCTGAGGCAGAAGGATCACCAGTTCAAGACCAGCCTGGGCAATACAGTGAGACCTGTCTCAAAATTAAAAAATAAAAAAGACTGGGGGTGTAACTCAGTAGTAAAGCACCCCTGGGTTCAATCCACAGTACCTAAACAAATAAATAACCCCGACTGATAAATTTCATCTGGACAAAAGAAACTACAAATGAACCATAAGTACCTGATAAGGACTCTGTTTTGTGCCTCCCTGAGCATGCTAACTCATAATCAGCACGTCCCTCGTGGACACCTGGCCGCAATAGCATGAACTTATCACAGGGCAGGGAGAATCCTATGGGGCACAAAGCTTTGAAACCAGGAGGAGGCCCATTACTGCCTGATGTAGATCTGTGTCCTTGTCCCTGTGCTGTGTCACACAGACAGCTTCAAAACCCACTGGAAAGGAAGAAATGGCCTTGCCCTCCTCTCTTACAGCCTCCTAGGAATTATGGGGCAGCATGTGACCCACAGGAACTTCTTGATATGAATATTTAATTCAGTCCAAGACAACTTCTGGTGGGCACTACCTATGGTGATAGGTTAGGAACAGAAATTAAGCATTTGCTTGCACTAAAGATTGGGGAGAGAATTGGTTATATGCAGAAATTTTTATAAACTAATCACCTACAACATTTATGTAAAGAAAATCCGTCCTTTTAGAGTGTCCTAAAGAGTTATTAGCAATTACATGAAACAAAAATGAATATCTAGTAAGCTGGTCTCCTACAAAGGCATAAAAATAAATTCAAGATTATTAAAATGAGTAATAGGATGTGGACTTACCATAACTAGGTAAAATATATATGTTGAGTGGTACCATCAGCAGAACTATGCATCCCAGAAAAATAAAAGGCACTTCATAGCCAAAGGATTGATACAAAAAGCCACCTAAAGGAGGACCTAGTACTAGTCCCAATCCAGAAAATACCTCGAGACCTCCCTAAAAATGGGGGAGAAAGGAGGTAATATATATCATTTGAAGAATTAACAAGTTACTATCTGAAAAATCAACTATGTACTTCACAATTTATACATACACACAAATTTAATTGAAGTCTAAATATTTAGATCATAAAAAATCAAATATGGAAATTTTTTATGAGAAATTCTCACTATGTGCCCTAGGCTGGCCTCAAACTCCTGAACTCAAGCGATTATCCTGCCTCCAGCCTCCTGTATTCTTCTGAGTAGCTGGGAATACAGGTGTGCATCACCATGCCTGACCTCTTTTCAAATTTTTATGGTGGGAAGGTTTTCTAGTTATGATATAAAACTCAGAGAAACTGAAAGAAATAACTGATAGATATGATTATATGAAAATACACCAAAATGCATGGGAAAACACATCAAAGGACAAATGGTGAACTGGGGAAAATATGGACAAAGAACTAATTCCCCATAGATATCCTGAGATACTACTAATCAGTGAAAAAAAAAATTGAAACACTCAATAAAAAAGTGGGCAAAGGCTATGAACTGTTGACAGAAAGTAAAATGCAAATATCTCTTAGAAGCAACAGCAGCCTGTTCTCATTTTTTAAGAGAAATAAACAAATTGGACCTCAAGATACCATTTTTTCACCCATCACCTACCAATCCTCTCTGTTGCCAAAGCTGTGTAGAAAGATACAGTCTCACACACTACTAATTGAGTAAATACAGAGGCAATTGGACAAACTATCAACATTAAAAATGTAAGTTCTGACTCAAATTTCCACTTCTAGGAATTTAACTTATAGGAATAGCCATAAAGATGTAACATGGTGTGCACACAAGCTTTTTACGCACTGTAGCACTGTTTGAAATGGAAAAGATATAAATGGTCTAAATTTTCATTAACAGTGTAAACAAACTAGGTTATAACCATATCATGAAATACTACATAGCCAGTAAAAAAAAATAATGAAGCTTTTTATAAGTAAGTACAAAAAAAATCTCCAATATGACTTTCTTGTTAGTGTAATCAGCAAGGTGCTCAATGGTGTGTATAGTATGCTACCAGTAATGAAAAGAAAACAAAAGAGGAGGGGAACTGTGCTGTCTCTTGGTGAGTATATATGTGTGTATGTGTGCATATACAAACATGGGACCTCTCTGGAAGAAACCTACAATATTTCTTGCCTTTTGGGAGGGGGTAAAGCACCGGGCACTGAATGGGCAATGCAATGTGTCAAATATATTTATTATATTCTATGTTCCTTTTCATACTTATGAATTTTGCACCATGCAAAATTGTCATGTTAATTAATGTTAAACAGTACAATGGGAGGAATAGTGCACTATTAAAGTAATTATACCACTTTTAAATCAATCTGGTTTTTAGAGAGTTTAAACAGACACCTGTGGCTTGCAACCTTCACTCTCAGACCTCACAGCTTATGCAAAAGCCATTCATTAATAACTTTCAAAATTTGATAAAGAATATAGGGAGTCTACCTTTCATCACAACAAAGCCATTCAGGCCAAAAATTTGTTAGAAGTGTTAGCATTTGGCTACAATTTTATATAGAAAGCTGAAATGACAACACCGAAGTTTCTCCAATGGACTGTTGCCATCATTATAGAAATTTCCTGGGTAGCACTTTCTAGAGTGATCTGCAGAAAACCACTTCTTTAACAGCTCCACAGGTTTTATTGGGGAAAAGTTCATAGACAAATTGAGTTGTAGAGCATTTGATAAAGTATCTTTACTCCAGGATTTCTCAAAGCCTTAAAACACTAATGTGAACTAGACATCTCTAAGTTGAAGAACCACACACAGTACACTTCAAACTTGTTTAGCCACCAAACTGTGTTTTACAGGGCAGCTCGACAAACTAGTGTTCTTCTGAATCCTTTCTGAGAAATATATTCCAAGGAAATATAAATGGCATGCCTGTCACCATGCCCACTATGGCAGAACAAATGACTATAAAACCCAAAATTAAACTATACAGGTAAGCACCTAATGCTTAAACCATTCATATAGAAAATAGTTTATCTGACAGTAAAAATTTTCATATGACAGTATTAAGTGAGTAAATGAGGGGTCCTTGTTACTAAGATGATTAGACTCTGAACTCTAGAAAACAATTATATGAAGGTGGCATTTGGTCCAATATGCAGACCAGGAGTCTCCTGCAAGGATACATGGGCACAGAGAGGGAATCATGGGCAAACCTCCTGGAGTCAGAAAGGCAGGTTCCCAGAGCTGAGACAGCAATCTGGTATACCTCTAATACCAGGTCTATATGCATCTAGATGATGCACAAGAATGGACATCAATGTGATGATGCCAGGTTCTGGAATTTTGTGTCAAAATAAGAGAGCATTCCTCACACAGCACAGAAGCATGTAAGGACATCAAGATGATGCCCAAAACCTCTTTCACATATCTGGGGAAAGTGGAGGAAGGACTCTAGTATGAATTAAGTGTTTTGCCACCAGGAAAATCACTTCTATAGCAGAGGAGTGCCCTAGGCAACTCTCACAATTTCGGTCACAAATAGACAGCAAGGCATGACTCAGGCGATTTAAATAAAAGTGGTAAAGAGAATAGTTGCTTTGAGCCACATTTACCTATCAAACTGCCCATTCAGGGAATTCTAAGATCAGGAAAAGCACCTGAGTACCAGGAACAGTACACTTTTTTGACATCCTTACTGCCAGAGTAGAAATCAGTGAAAATTTAACAAAACACAAGAGTGGAGAAAAGCAGGTCTAGAAGGATGGATGCCAGTTTTAACTTGAAAGGTCCAACAAATATTTGGGGCTATACTCAAAAGAAAGTAAGAAAAATGTATAAACTACATACCAGTACTGTAGCAACATTATTTGGAAAAGCTTTTACGAGGATCGAAGATGATGCAGTCATTGCTGCACCAAAGCTTAATGCATCCATTATTCTCACTAGAAAACACATAGCAATAAATACAGGTCCATCAGGAACTTGGTCCAAGAGACTGAAAAGCAATAAGACAATTATCAAAAGCCAAGCTGGTTTTAATTTTTTTAAATTTTAACTGTACCCACTATACAAAAAAAAAAAAAAGCATGTTATCCATAATTATTAGAATAAATCTCTTTAGAATATGAGTTGTTTTTAAAAGTTGCTTTGTTATACTTTCAGTAGGACACCCCCGATCTGGTTTTTGTTTGGTTGGTTTTTGTTATGATTTGAGTCATAATGATAGCTTTACCGCCCTTTACTGCTGACAAAGTTGTTCTCTTGCATGAAAATATCAAATACGCCTTTTTAGAATACAATTTTTCCTAGGTGTTCATGGGGGATGGATTCTAGGATCCCTGGCTGTGAAGGATAATCAAATCCCTTTATAAAATGGCATAGTTTTTGCATATAACCTGTGCACATTATCCTGTATATGTTAAGCCATCTCTAGATTATTTATAGTACCTAGTGTAATGTAAACACTATGTAGATAGTTATTATGCTTTACTATTTGGGGAATAATGACAAGAAATCGGAACATATTTAGTATAGACCCTTTGTTCTTAAGTATTTGACATCTGCAGTTGGCTGAATTCACAGAGGCTGAACCTATAGATTTGGAGGGTTGACTGCATATAGAATAATGCTGACAAGTCTTCTTACTAGCAGGTTTCTCCTGTGGTGGGACTCACAACTTCAAAAAAAGAAAGAATCTAGAAAATAGAAGACTCCCACAAAAAATAAATAAATAAATAAATAAAATTAATGTGATGGTTTTCTGAGTTTATCTCTTTATATTTATTATCATTCCTTTACATTTCCCAAGTATTTATATGAGCTGTTTTCTAGAATTTGCCACTATGTTGCTCCTTTAAGGATTCTAAGCTTAAGAATTCTATAGTTGTTTTGCCTCTGGTACTCATTTTCCCTATAACACCAAGGGGAAGAAACCTTCTGCTTTATGCTCTTAAAAGTAAGCACCGTGACCTAGTCTGGCCAAGCAGAACATTCTTTCCCCTGGGCTACAATGGCCACCATGCAGGCATGGGCCATGAATAAAGATGAGGCCAGTGAGGACTCCTTTCTGTGATTCTCACTGAAGCTATTAGGAACAGGGTACTCTCTACTGAAACTGCAAGGGTCATATTGGAACTGAAAAGGGAGACCTTACCCAAGAAGAGGAAGGCAAAGCCGGGAAGCGAAGAAAGACTTCTGATGGCATGGTTTTATTGTTCTGATGGAACCCAGGGGCCCTCTAAACTGAACTATATCCCCAGCCATTCCGTTCCACTCCATTCCATTTTTCTGAGAGAGGGTCTGCCTAAGTTGCCCAAGCTGGCTTCAAACTTGTGATCTTCCTGCCTCAGGATCCCAAGTAGCTGGAATTACAGAAGCCCACCACTGTACCCAACTTGAACAGATTCTTTGGGGAAAAAACAATTTTCACTTTTTTGCTAAGCCAGAATGTATCTGTGACTCAAAAATTTGTTACGTTTCTATCATTCACAGTCACAAGAGTCCTCATGGATAGATTTAGTAGCCGGTTTTAATGATGATCCCTTGGATTCTTGTTCTCATTTATTTTATTTTATTTAGTTATTGATGGACATAATACCTTTATTTTATTTATTCATTTTTTGTGGTGCTAAGGATCAAACCCAGTGCCTTACATGTGCAAGGCAAGTGCTCTACCTCTGAGCCACAACCCCAGCCCCTGGATTCCTGTTCTCTGCTCACCCAACTCCTTCCACCTTTATTTGCAAGCTGTCATTAAACAGACAGTAATAGTACTGATCACTTCAATAAGCGATTAACATTTTAAACTGAAGAGAGATCATAAAATCTGTGCAATCTTTCAAACGTATCAGAAAGTGACTTACCCAAAGAGAATTGTAACTCCTCCTGAGACGAACATCCCTGCTATAAACATAAACTTTGCTCCAATATGCACAAGCTATAATAAATGTAAAAAAAGAGACATTGATTACTTCTACAAGTTCATATTTATATAAACAAATCCACTGTATCAGAAAATTTAAAAATGGGGAAGACATGTATAATTAATACAATACTAAAATAACTCTTTAAAAAGAATAAATGGTGATATACAGACATGGAAGTTAAAAACTAATCAGCCCTGAGGATGGAATTGTCACAGGTAGCAGAATTTTAAAAACTATAATGGTGCTTATTTCTATATCGATAGTAATTCTAGACTAGTAAATTGGAACATCTCATTTGGTAATTTTTGTTTTTTTTGGACCAGGAATATAACCCAGGGGCACTTAACCACTAAGCCACATCTTCAGCCATTTTTTTTATTATTTTATTTAGAGACAGGGTCTTGCTAACTTGCTTAGGATCTCACTAAGTTGCTGAGGCTGGCTTTGATATTATTATCCTCCTGCCTCAGCCTCCCGAGTCACTGGGATTATAGGCATGCACCACCATGACTGGTTCATTTGACAGTTTTTAAAAATTAAAATGTGTATATGAACTTTAATACTTACATATTTTCCAAATACCAAGGATGCCAGCAAGTCAAATAAAGCATAACATCCAAAGATCATGCCTATCATGGTATTGCTGGCTCCCTTCTTTTCAGCCTTTGAAAAAATAGAAATGGGAACAATGTTTGAAAGACAAAAATAGCACAGTATGGAAAGACAAAAATATGCAATCAGAACATCATCTTCCTGCAAGGTAGGCGGGCCTGCGACCCACCGGCAGAAGAGGAGCAGCGGCCTGCTGAGAGGCAGAGCCGCCCCCTCCCCCTGCGCCGGCAAGGTAGAGGGAACTGTGACCATGCACACAGCAGGCCCAGCGGCTTGCTGAGGGGCAGAGACGCCCCCCACGCCCAGCGCCTGCCAGGTAGGTGGAACGGTGACCACCGACAGAAAAGGCTCAGTGGCCCGCGGCGGGACAGAGCTTCCAATCACTCCTGCAAGGTAGGCGGGCCTGC